TCTTGGGTGTCACGTCCTTGGGGGCCGGCCGCCATCAAGTAGTCGGTGGACGGGATGAGGAGGAGGAAAGCTTTGAACTGCTCATCTCATCTTCGTATATCGAACGAAAGGAGGAAGACAGTCGGTACTAGTCACCCTACGCACCTCGTTTAATAACTAATTTTATATAAAGATGACTATGACGATAAGACGAGGTAGTTATAAAATTGACCTGTGGAAATTGGGGGATCCTCCTTGGGGCGTGAGGGTTTGAAAATTTGAAGATGATGTCCCTGTAATTGGGTAGAAGATTGGCGGTAAATTTTGATAGAAATGAGAACGAAATTAGGTAATAATGATGAGAAAATTGAGAGAGATGGAGGGCAAAAAGGTTAGCCAATTAGACAGTTCAAGTAGACAGGGATGATGGGTGAGGAGGTTTAAAATTTGAAAAAGGAAGGGATGGGGACCTCTTATAGAAAGGCAGTTTGGCAGAGAACGAGGGAGGAGGAAGGGAGGAGAAGCTGGATTTGAATTCTGAGCTCTGGTGGGTTCGAACCCGGGACCCGTCTGGCGGAAAAAAAATCAAATGCGCTACCGACTGCGCTATCAGTTGCGCTACGACTACCGGGAGGTGCGTCGCATGGCGCAGTCGGTAGCGCTTTAGTCTTCTGACAGAACGGTCCTGGGTTCGAACCCTCTTGTGGTCAATTTTTTTTGTTTTTTTTTTCTGAGTCCTGTCCATCCAAAATTAGGCCAAAAACGGATTTTTGTGAGCTATTACAAAGAACGAACTGATTTTTTTTTCAAAAACCCAAAAATTTTTGTTCAAAAATTCTAAAAACTCTATTAGAGCGGCACCTTCGTAAGCAATCATCCGAAGCTCTTCAGCAAATAACCGCCGCTCTATTAGAGGTTCACAAAATCCTCTGAACTGCCTAGCTAAACGGAAACTCCCCTTTCCCGGTTCCGTTCAAAAATTCAAACACGCCGCCGCGACCAAGTACGGTTTTGTGGGGGAGACAGACAACTCATATACGGGTGACTGGACACCGCAAAACGGTCAGTGGGACAAAAGGAAAAATGCGCGAAAAGATTTGAAAAGTTTCTTTTCAGGAGGACGTTGCACCCAACCAAAACCGCAAAAAATATTCAAATGGGCTCTCCACACCTCGGCCACGGAGCCATAAAACTAGAGGGTTTTTTGGTGCAAGAAGATGAAATGGGTGTCTTCTCCAGTGGTACTAAACGAGTTGATTGGTGTGAAAACTCTTCAAAAGTCAACCCGGCGCCGCCGCCGACACGGGTTTATTTGATAGGAAGGGCTGAGGGTGTTAAAGAGTGATGTGGGAGTGGAAAGTGCACACATTGGGAGGAACGAAGATTTGAATTTGGATGAGTGAAGGAGAGCAAGGAATTGGGAGAAGATTGAAGGAAGAGAAGGAAGAAAATCCGGTAAATCTTGGGAAAAATGACACAGGGGCTAGAGGAAATTGGTTCTACCTTGCATTGGAACTGTCCCGTATTAGAACTGTCCAATATCAAAACTTCCCGGTTTAGAAATGTTCAAGAATTGTCAGAATTTTGCAAAAAAGGACCCGGTACATAAGTAACTTAACGAAAATGATAATCTAGTTGAAAGAAACTGCCCGAAGGCCTGTAGACACCGGAAGCCATGGAACAAGTCTTGGCTCAGCTGGTACTGCATGGTCAGAGCGGCATATCTTGATTGTCATTAGAGTTATCGAAAAGTGGTCAATTAACCAAATGTTAAACAATACTTTTTAAACTTTTTGTCAGTTGAAAAATTTTTGATAGCTCTAAAGACAATCGAGATATGCTGCTCTGAAACTTGGAACCTCAATAACAGAACTTGTGGAATGTGTGCACTCTCAAAATGATGCAACTACAGTGATTGGAGATCATGGAGTGCTGTAGAATGATGTCAGAGAAATGGGATCAATATCCGGACAGGTGAGTTCTCACGAAATTAGTGGCCGACTGATTTTTGAGTTAGTTACAGTAAATTATCTAGAAATGACGGAACCTAAGAGCCAAAGTACCACCAAGTTATTTTTTTGAAAAATCATAATTCAGGATTATTCAGTATTTCGATCAGTTACAGCAGGTCTATCAAAAAAAGACAAATCAAAAAATCTCAAACTGTCGTACCACTACACTTTTACGGAATTCGGAAGCCAGAAAAAAATCACTTTGCAAAAAAACCTCCATCTGAAAACTCGGATCAAAATTTTGAAAAATTGAAAGAATCCGGAATCTTTGGAATCCTGGAGATTACGACTCGGATCCTATTTCCAATAATAAGATCTAAAAACTTCTGAAAAATTGCAGCCAACCGGAGCCATTCAAAAAAGTGGCACCCCCTCCCCTACACCCTTTCCCCTTCCTTCCTCTATATGACACACCTCCTTTCTGACCGAGTCATCCAAAAATAGGAGGGCAGTGGTACGGACAGGAACCACTCTCTCTCCCTCTAATATCAAAACTTTTTTGAATTTGTTTGGGGAACCCCATCTAGTGAGAGATACACAAAACATTTGCATGTGTTTCAAAAAAGACAAAGTGACAAATGAGAATGGAAAGTGAGAATCAAAAAGGAAAAGGAGAAAGTAAATGAATGATGGCGGCTAAAGGGAGGAGGAAAGTGAAATGATTTGTTCGTGGTCAGGTGGCGTAAGACAAAATTTATAGCAGCAGCCGCGAAATTGAATAAATTAAAGGGTTCCGGTTTAGATGTTTTTTGTCTCTCTGGGATTTCTAGAGGGTTCAAAGTGGCATTAGGCTAGGAAAAGCCGTTACGGTAGGAAAAAACGTGGAAGACTAGAAAAAATTCAAATCTAAAGCTAGGGAACCAGACAGTCCAAGGGGGAGGGCTCGGAACAGTCTGGGCCTAACCCTAAGCTCCACCTCCTGGAAAGATTCTGAATTTTCTTAATTTTTATGTTCCAGGTACCCCTTATCATCGAGCAGGTGCAACACTGTCCATGCACTTTGCCTGTCATAAAACTTTTGAATCTTTCAATTATCTGTTGTTTGACAACGCTACATGCATTACACACGGGCGTACAATAAACTTTAGGAACAGCCAAAAAAAAAGAAACAAATTGTATCTGTGTTTGAGCTTACACCGACAAATTAGAAAAGGTTGTTTGGGGGAGATAGGGGGTTTGAATAGGAAAGAAGAGTCTAGAGCAAAGAGCCAGAAAAAATTTTGAGCAGGAAATTGGAAAATGCGCAAAAATTTAGGAGAACCCAGAAAATGGAGAATTAATTGAATAGAGGCGGAATTTCAAAACATTGTCAGAAAAAATCTGAAATTCAGGTAGTAGACACCTCTGGTGGGCTTACGCGCATGGTCAGTTTGGCAGATCACCAAAAACGCTGCCAAGTTTGAAGTTGTCAAGGTTTACTAAAAATGAGGAAAATCTAAGAAAAAACGATAAAATCTAGGAAAAAAGAAAACATCTAGGAAAAACTCAGAAAAATCTAGGACAAAATAAGGGAAAACTAGGAGGAAGAGGGGAAAATGTGGAAAAATATAAGAAAAATCTAGGAAAAAATATGAAAAAAAGCTGGAATAAAAATGAGAAAAATTTAGGAAAAAGTGAGAGAAATCTAGGAATAATTGGGAATATCTACGAAAAAATGAGAGAAATTTCGGAAAATCCAGAGTTGGGAGTCTAGATTCAGGTTTGAACAGGATGGAAAGGAAACCGGGAATTGAGGCCCGGAGCTCCAGTGGAGCCATTAGCCTAAAATTGAAAAAAAGTGAAAAAAAAATCTAGAAAATCCTGATCTGGAAAATCAAAATTCAGCATTGAAAATTTTGTTTGAATGGATGAGGAATGAGAAATAATTGAAGAAAAAAAATCATTGTATTAATCAAAAAAATCTGGGACTTCCTAAGATCTCAAAAAATTGAAAAATGGAAGTTCGCGGGAAAAATGATTCTCCAACTTTGTAACCGGCCTGAATTAAATCGAACAACCCTAAATCTTCAAAAATTTGGTGAAAATTACACGATTCTACGCGGTTAAGTGATTTGCCAGACTGGTCCCAGGTTCAAATCCATCGCCGAATTTTCTAACTCAAAAAACTCTACAATTCCACTATTTCCGCGCCAACAACCACCCCAGCCACACCTTGTAATTTATCACCACTATCAATAAGATGCAAAAAAAAAACTAAATTCAAATAGACAAAGAGCCGTCGTCGGAAAGGGTGAAAAAAGGAATAAGAAGAAGAGCAAGGTACCAGGTACCGCACTTATTATTCATTTATGATTCACAGCTCTCTGCTGTATAATAGGGTGCGTCTCCCCATCTCTCTCGCTGGTTTTTTTTTGTATCGTCGTTCAAAAAATTGTGTTTGCAAAGCGAGAAAAAAACCTCTAATAAAAGGGCATTCATTCAAAATTTTCGGTTTCATTTCTGTCCCATTGAATTCTCAATTCTCCCCTTCCCATTCCCTCCCCAACTAGCTAGCCCTACCCTATAAATTAGTACTATTTCTAGTGTAGCACAGCTGTCATCTCTCTCTGCGTCTCTTCGTCTCTCACACTATTTCCTCATAGGCCATCTTGAAGCTGTTCGTTTTGTATTCAAAGAGAGGGTGATTTGAAACCTTTGGCACCAAGGGGGGGGGACAAGAGAAATCGGGCGCCGCCAATTGGAAAACCGGTTAAAGGAGAGGGTGAAAATGAGAAAGGAGAAGGAAACAAAAAGTAATGAATGGGTGGTAAATTACAAGCTAGAAAAAAGGGTTTGGGGGTTGGATATTTGGGGAGAAAAGAGTTATGGAATCTAGGTCAGAAGCTGCAAAAGAGAGGTCAGAAAATCTCTAATAAAATGGCACGGTACTAAATTGGCATCTAACAGTAAAAAAAACAGCTATTGGGTTTGGCGATAGGGGGTGGAATTTCGGGGAGAATGAAGATTTCGGCTTAGATATATGCTGTAAAAATAAGGTCAGATTACCTCTAATAAAATAGCATGTTTACACAAAAAAACCAAACACAGATAAACCTGGAAACCATAGGATTCTCGTCAAAAACCAAACTGAAAAAAGGACAAAACTCAAAAAAAAAACAATGAGTAAATACCTCGGACGGGTTCGAATCCGGTCCCCAAGGCGTTACCGACTGCGCCACGCGGCTGGAAGGCACGGCACGTAGCGCAGTCGGTAGCGCATTTGGTTTTTTGTTTTGGCCGATTGGACCTGGGTTCGAACCCGCTAGAGGTATATTTTCTTTTATTAGTTTCCTAGCCCTTCACACAGCTCACTCTGAGTTCTGGGTGCCCTTCTATTAAAGGGTCTCTCCCAGCACAATTTGAATTTGTGGGGCTTCATCTTCCCCAAACTCCACTTTCCTAAAACTAAAATTCAAACGCCACCCCAATAAAAAGCCCAGGCGGTCTCTCCCTAGCTTTCTCTCTCCTTTCCTCTCCTGTGAACCATCTTGTCATGAATCACTCGGAGCGCTCCCCTTCTCTCTTTTCGACCCAGTAACCCGCTATGAGAACATGACGATTGCATGTGTGGTGGTGGTGACATCTAAAATGACAGAATTGAAATGGTGAAAGGAGAGAGAGGATGGCGACAGAAGGAGCAGCAGCAATTTTGAATTTTCTGCTGCTGGTGGGATAGGATAATTAGAGGGGGAGCAGGGTGTTCAAGAAGGGCTGAATTT